TCTTATTTTTGGTATGCATAAATAGGGATTTAAGATAGTCACCCTTAAATCCCTATTTATAGATAAATTCATTACATTAACTACTTGTTCTTTTTTGCTTTTAAGATTGTATTCTTATGAGAGTTTGACACCTCATCAATAAAGATAAGAGAATCTTGACAACTCATCTCTAAGGATAAGAGAATCTTGATAACTCATGCTTCTAATACTCCTTGTCATGCTTCGTAGACTTGTCTTTTAATCAATAGTCTTGCCAACTCATATTTTTCTAGCCTAAACAACTCATCACTAGCTTGCTTATTCATGCTTACTAGACTTGACAATTCATCATTAGCTTGCTTAGTCATGCGTACTAGACTTGCGAACAAACTTCTAGCCTTAACAACTCATCACTAGCTTGCTTAGTCTTATAATGAAGATGTTTCACTAATTGTAACAGTTGTTGGAGTACTCGAATTATTCATAAATTTTTGCATTTAAGGCTGAAATATTGAGATTTATCTAATAAAGAAACTAGGGTGTTATAGAAAACCAGAGGTAAATCTTTACAGCTACAGAAACTAGAAAAAAGAGAGGAAAGACGTATATAAGTTGACCAAGCTGCGCAAAAGAAATTCTAGGGGACCAAAGTTACATCAAATACATAAATATGATAAAYAAGATTCCTGGTAAAATGTGAAGTTAGAGAATGATAGCTTAATAGTTATTCAATAAAAGAAGGGAACTGTAYGTAAACTTCACCAAATGAAAGTTTGTAGACTCATTTGGACCATTTAAGGTGAAGAAWGCACTAAGATAGCAACAGGTAAGGCTTTAMGGCTCCATGTTGTTCCTACTATAGTTTGAAAAAACCTTTGGAATGAGCAATTGTATGCCTCCCTTGGTTATTAGTCGGTTCATGTCTTCCCCTTACAAGGTCACTGGGATGCAATTCTTTGGATTTTGAGGTACTTCAACGCCTCTCCAGGGAGAGGTTYTTTTGTATTATGATCAAGGCCACTGTAGAATTGGTGCTTTACTGAAGAGGGTTCTGAAAAGAATTGGGTTCTCAAGTGCAGATTGGGTAGGATGTCTATTTTCTCGTCTGTCTACCACCGGCTGCTTCRCTTTTGTAGGTGGGAATCTTGTATAGTGGAAAAGCAAGAAGCAACAATCTTGAATAGTAATATGTGACATATGTTAATACCATGTACAATATTGAAATAATAGAAACAAAGATTTGAGTTTAATTTGAAAGCCATATTTCGACCCGGACGTTTTTTGATACTTCAAGGGGGGTTTACCTGGAATGAAAGAATAAATCTGGATAGAATGTTTGAGCGTTTGGATCCATGTATGGTTAGGTTCCWTTTGTATAACGAGAGGAATGGACATAATTGATACAGGAGCTCCTTGAGTGGATAGCTAGGAACACTAAGGTACAYAGACTGATAAACTATTCATACACAAAAGAGGTTGAACTTAGATAGGAGTGCATGGAAGCAGATACAAAAAGTGTGATCTTCAATAGTAGTGTGTGGAAGGATGTTATTTTGCGCCCCGAAAGTTCTATGTAATRTCTGTTGGGTTTCATTTTTAGCCGACCCAACTTGTTTATGATAAAAGGCTTGCTGCTACAGATGATGTATAAGAAATGTAATTCATTCTGCCACTTATATCAGGGTACTAATCAAATATGCACCCTTTGAAGTAGCATAGTTGCCTAAAGAATAGTAGAATTACGAATACTTGCTTCAATTTTTGGAAGCAATGCTATTTTTCCAAGGTGGATCAACCACAATAATATTGAATCCTCAATCATGTTTCACTGCAGGAGGATGCAATGAAGATTCAAATTTTCATGCTGAAGCAAAGCCTACTATAAGCGAACCATATTTGATGCATCTATCTTTTCAAGATTATTACTATCAGGTTATGAATGATAAAATAAAATAAAAAGTTCTACTTGTCAAACACTAGCAAGGATCAGGCCATAAATCGTCTTCAGATCAAACTTCCACATGTGAATCAAGAAAACATACAGAGATTGTAAGACAAACTGAATAAACAATAGTGCAAACTTGAAAGAAAAATCACGTACAAAAAACTAAAACTAAAGATAAATTTACAAGAACTCTTGCATCAAATATACATTGTCTTAGTGGGTGATAAGATACCATATTGTTTAATAAATTAGACATATAAAAATGTAAGCTCACCATGTAAAAGGAACTCTTTCTGGGTATTATGTACATGCGATTTAGAAAATCAGCCTCCATGKCGTTGTTTGTCTCATTTGCAATTAAGCTGCCAAATGCTGGAATATTTCTTTTTTCACAGTTTTGAACAGACTGGGAACCTGAAGAACCAATTAAACAACAGGTATAATCTAAATAACTTAGTTGATTGTGTAACATCAGACAGTTTTCCTATGTATCTTACCCACAGACACCAATATTGTGAACTAAGTAGGCTTGTAGTTGAATACGGTTTCWGCAGTGTGGTTGTCCTTGTCAAACAACTTCCTGAAAGGTCTGATTCTATAGAAMATTAAGTCGATACAACCATYAAGCTTAACTCGCAAGAAACTATTGGCAGTGACTTGGCAGTGCTCCCTCCGTCCCCCCTCTTCCACACAAACACCTACGGAAACCTAAATATTAAAAGGGTGAAGAAGATAGTGTGTGACTGGGCTCAGTAACCACTTTTTCGTGCTTAACAGCCAACTCACTAAATAACTGCACACAAGAAAACAGCAGACAAATCCCTGAATTTGCTCCAAGAACTATTTTTCTTTTYGAACCATAAAAGGCCCTTAAGAAAGACATGGAACCCAATTTTCAACAATAAAAATACTTCTCTGCAACCTTCCATACAAACCCAATACTAATTGCTGATGTAGAATTTACTTTTACTTCAATAACTAAACTAAAGTTGATGTGAAAACCAAAGGGGCTAAATATGTATTGCTAAAACATGGATAGCCATACATTAATTACAAGGGTTCCAAGTGTTAAAATTGGAGATGATATTACTTTACTCACTAAATTAACAAGGGTTTCTAACCACCCGCCACCATCCTAGGAGCATCCTGACCTCCTCCTCTGCCACCCCCAASCCACCATATCCTGCAAGGCATATGTGAATTAACACAAAAAATAAGTACATTAATTAACTTTCCCAATCCAACGTGGTGTCCGACACCCATATCATCCACAGATTCGCCACTAGAGATGCATCATTTTCATGGGTTTTGCRTTTATATAAGCATCTCATGTGATTTAAGAGCAATTTCAAACGCTTGCACGACACATATGCAGCTAAAAATTATCATTATCATCAATTACATACACACGTTACATGTTTAGACATGCTTCTATGGAGAGAGAAAATTTCAGGGAAAAACCTGGAACCTGAGAACATGAGTTGCTAATGGATACTGATGAGGGACACTGTAACATAAATCCAGAAGAAGGTTGCTTCATATCATAAGATTGATCATTTTAAAGTGGTATTTTAAAGTTGATATGCTTTCAAGGGTGATGAAGTGATCAATTAACATGTTTGATGATGAAAATCACATTTTTCTTGCAGAAAATGGTGATCGGGCAAGTAGCACTTAACACAGGGGAGAATGTTGGTTATTGATGGTAATGGAATGGATGGTAGGGGAAGTCATCTGCCGTTTTAGACTTGAGACMTCTATAATATGTTGGTTCACRACCATGTCCTAACTATGCACATTTAGCCCCTTTAGTTTACTGATCAACTTTAAACATACACATTAAAAACTACCAATGCATTTTAGATGGAGCCTTAACATGATGGTGTTTTTATCATCTAGTACAAAGTTCAACATTCTTTCTCTTTTACATTCCGTAGTTTAACTGGAAAAGTAAATACTGGAGCAAAGTTCCAAGCTTTTCTGCCATTTCCTCAATTCAAAATTATTACATGTGATGAACTATGTGTTAGAACTGTAATTATAACTTCAAATAAGAAACAAAAAGTAACTAAAAGACAACAGATATCCTACTTACAGAAAGCAACAACCACAGAAGTGTGGTGTACATGGTTGCCTTTACAATGGCAATACCTTGGGTGTCAATATCATAACACCTTTCACATTTGACATTGTTTTCAGAATTTGTTCTACTTATTTTGGGAACTTTTAACTTCCCTATCGTCAGGTCCAAAATTCTTGTGCCCTTCTAAGGTTTAAACATAAAAGGCTTCCTCAGTGAGGTATTCATCCCCATGTCTACAAAAATCAGCGAACKAGGAGTCATTTGATTGCAAGGAAATTAGCAACGGGAAGCAAGTCCCTAAATTCTATGTGTTATTGCTTCAACCATATAAGCTAASTAAGATGTACATGTATTTTGATATTTCCAGCAAGTAGAATTAGCTTGAGCATAACAATCATGGACAGTATAACAAGTACCTTGTTTTGAACTGTAATTTTGATTAAGATACAGTGAAATTTCAAAACAATAGAGCTTGCCATACACTCACAAACGAATGCTCGTCACTTGCTAACGTCGGTTGTCCACAATCAGACGATGGGAAATCATCGTTCCTCAATTTCTTCAAATTTCATCAGTAATATTTTTAAATTTTTTTTAATTTAAAAAATCACATACATGATATATATATTATTATAAAATTAAAATAAATTTAATAATAATTTTTTTTTTAAATTATTGACAAAATATATTTTAATTTTAATTAAAATAAATTTTATCAAAAAAATAATTTAAAATATAATTATTTTTTTATAAACGTAAGTATTTTTTTGTTATATTTGTTTAATTTTATAGATCTAAATACTTTTTGGTTCAAAAAATATTTAGGGACTTAACCGTTCAAAACATGAATGTTCATTGGGGTTTTTTCCGGATTTTTGTCATTATTTTACCACTTTAACTAGTTGTACAAGTTATAAGAATATATCCAACATGTTTTAGAAAAGTCCAAAGAGTTATTTTAACATGTTTTGGATTGTCCAATAACCTATTTGTTCCAAAAATTGTTCAATGAGTTATTTAACATGTTTTAAATCGTCTAAAGACTTATTTGTTCCAAAAAATTGTCCAAAAAGTTATTTAACATATTTTGAAATATCCAAAAACTTATTTGTTCCAAAAAATTATTCAAGAATTTAATCATTCCAAACACTAAAATTCATTAAAAAAAAAAAATTAGACTTTTCCCTATTTTTAACCCTTCCTCCACCAAACTTCAGAAAAAGCCAAAAAGCCTTTACTATGTAAATCCACATTGAGCGACACCGTATTTTAACCGTTTTGTGTATGGGAAACCTTAATTTCTGTTCAATTTCCATAACTCACACCTCTGTTTTTTATTGAAACAGAACGGTGGCGAGATGCTGATTATTTTCCAATCGCTATATTTTCTCCGATTATACGGTGAGTAATCATTCCATTCTCTCCATTTTTGGTAATTTTTTTTATAATAATTGATTAACATCACGTTATGTTTTTCCTTTAATGCAATCGAAATCGTATACTCGTATTTGTGTGTGATTGCATTTAGGTTGTCGAGATTTTCACCTTATTCCGTTCTTCTAAAGTTCTTGTTTCTGATTTTGTTATATAATGTGGAATTAATGGTAGTATTTGGGGTGCAATCGAATTTATTGCTTATGAACCCTAGAAGATTTTTGTAATTGATGTTTCGTCACGTTTGTGCTATATGTTTCTTATGATTCATCAAACAGTTGGGGTTTTTTCTTTCTATTTTCTSTTTTGAAGTTCTGCAATTGAAGTTTGAAATTGATGTAATAATTGATTGGTGAAGAGTGATGCAGAAAATCGTTGGTGCATYGCATTAGGGTCTATTGCTTGATGTTGATTATATTACTTTGTATTTATTTTATTGAATTTTCCATTTTTGTGTTAGGTGGGAAGAAAGCCGTGATATATTCATGATCTAATTGCGTCCTTTTTGGACGTTATGTWCTAGTTATTCAATCAAGAATGCAGATTTGTTGAAGCTTTGAAGACTAGATTATCTTTTGTTCATTTTCATTGTTTATAAGTAAACACCAGATGTTATTGTATTCGAACTTGATCGTGTATGACATAAAAACTGTTTATGTATTCTTGCAGTTGGTTTCAAATTTTGATTATTGTTTCTATTGATTTATAGGGTTCTTGAGTACTTGTACGGTTGTACCAGGAGATGTCCGGTGGGTTTGGGGAAGCGGCAAGCAGCAGGCCGACCCAAAACTCATCTTTCTCAAATAGTAATGGTTCCAACAAYGGTGATGCTGGGAATTTTGAGTGCAACATATGCTTCGATATAGCCCAGGATCCGGTTGTTACTTTATGTGGTCATCTCTTCTGCTGGCCTTGCCTTTATAAGTGGCTTCACATGCACTCACGATCCCAGGAGTGCCCCATCTGTAAGGCCTTTATACAAGAGGAGAAATTGGTCCCTTTATATGGCAGAGGGAACAGTTCAACAGACCCAAGCTCTGATATTCCACATCGTCCAGCCGGTCAGAGACCAGAARCTGCTTTACCACCAGATAGGAATGAGTTTATGCAACATGGTCTAGATGGGTTTGGATTGATGGGTGGTATTGGGCCTACAATGACCGTGAGTTTTGGGAATTTTACCCTTTCATTTGGTGGGTTTATGCCGGCAATTTTCAATGTTCAGATGCAGGAATTTGATGGTCCACCCATCTCTGGAAATGCTCGAGCTCCAAGCTATGCCTATGAAGGTCATCATGCACATGAAGTCCGTCAGCAGAGAGGTCATCAGCATGAAGCATCGCCACTTTTGATAATCGGTCTCATTTTTCTCTTTTCTCTAATTTGGGGATGAGGTAAATTAGCTCTGAGTGGCCAAATTACTGATGCTTTTTATTGTATATATTATAGTCAATAGCTCTGGTGCAAGGATATCTAACTTGACTCTGATAGCAGTGTTGATGATTGARGAATTGTGTATAGGATACCTCAAATATGGAACCGAAGGAGTAAATTTCTGTTCTTCTAAAATGTGTACGTGTAGAAAMTATAATCCAAATCGAGCTGCAAAAGGTTATGGTTTGACATCTTTTAGAGCTATTGTGTTGAGTACTCTCTGTTCATGTGTTGCGTAAATCTGTTCCACGGAGTAGAATMTTAAGAATTGGCGTTCCGCTAGTCATATTTAGGTTCATAATATCTTTAAKCTGGCTAGCAAACTAGAGGTGTGTTTCCCAAGTCAAAAATAAGTTCATAATATCTTTCAAATGACTAGCATAATAACTGCACTGCATTTTAGGTCCTGGCTGAGTTTGTATATGAACACAATTGTTGTATATGTATGTGCTATTTGCRATATGTGATCCATTTTCTTATTTTTAGATAGGAAATGTAGTTCGTTTTTCCATTCTATCCTATTTGATCATTGATATTCGAACAATGCTCTCTTTCATTTGTTCTTGTTCATGATTTGAACGRGTCGCACATACACCCTTGTACATTTTCTAATACAACTTTTTTGTTCAACAAGATTTTGTTTCAAGGCCTAATAATTAATAACGGATGGTATATGATTCTTCTTTCGTTTCTGATTTTGAATGATTCTTTTCGGAATCATATCTCAGTTTTTCACAAACTGAACTAAATCGAGTTCAAATGACATGCAAATGTAATTAAATCCTTTTGTGATCCAGATAAGATGGGCTATAGATCATTATTTTTACATCCACTACTTTATATCGGAATGAAGGCGCTTTTGCCGCAATTTCAGTTGTTTTATTATACTAGAACCTTTTTTTGGGTTGTGATGTAAATAGTTCATGATGGAGTTCGAGTAGAAAGTATTGATTGATTTYTCAGGGGCAATGATCTAGGGTTAATGCCAATCAATAAATCGGAACAACTTTGTAAGTATATCTTCGATATAGGAATTAAAACGGCAAGGGCTCTCAGCCACATGGATAGTTTAATGTGCACATCGGTGCCCGACACTAAGATGTGGATCATCCAAGGCACATTAGCATGGYGTAATCCTTCTGTTCGAGCCGGGGTTTGAAACCAAACGTCTCCTCAGGAGGTTAGATGGGGTAATTCAGGTGAGTTCTAATGTAGATCCAACTTTCAATTCACTCGTAGGATCCGGGTGATCCCGGGGGGAAAGCCATGACACCTCTCTTCTCAAGAAATTATACATYCCGTATCAGTTTATGGACATTGAGGATCGCAACGGCTTTTGGGTGAAAAGTTTGGAGAGCATAGACTATGTTGAGACAAGGATGATGGGGGGATTGTACTACAACTGTTATAGTTTACCTTGTATGGTTATATTCTCATTCCTTTCTTCAACTCTATTATTTCTATTATGTTTGCTGTAGGGGGTGGCTATGTTTTTTTCAATGTACTCGGTATGCTCTATCAGTTTTTAAATGCTTATTGGTCTATGGGTTTCAACTATGGACTAATTACAAGAATGGTCCCTCAATTATACATATTTACAATTGTAACATCCTCCTCAAACTCAAGCTGGAATTTGTGAATGAGATGAGAGAAGAGACTCATAATAAGAGCCTTCGTAAAGACGTCTGCGGTTTGGTCGTTGGAGGAGATCCCAAGAAGACTCAAATTCAGGGAATCGCCCGAGTCAGCARCTCGAGACTATGGAAGTGGTGAAGTGGTCCCAAATCTTTTATCTCAAAGTGTTAGATGGAGAGACATGTTCAATTCGGAAATCGGCAATTCCCTTTACATCACTGCATGTAATGATCATGTCATCAACATATAAGAGAAGGATAGTACCYGAAGCAATGATTTGGTGAAAAGGCCATAGTCATAATGGCTAGCAGTAAATCCCAACGAGCACTCAGAAATAYTGAACTTCTCAAACTATGCTCGGGGAGCTTGTATAAAATTTTGTAAAGTAACATTTACTAAACTAGTTTGGGGTAAGCTAAATGTGAAGCCATGAATTATAAATTTTAAAGTTTTCTTTTTACAACTGAGAACACGAGCGTTTTAGTGTGTAACAGGCATTTSGAAGTTGGATTTCCAAAGATCGTATTTTCTCTTTGTTGGAATTAATGTGGTAAAATAAGAAAGAAGGGCGTTCTGAGGTATGTCTTTGGTCATATTTCCATCTAATTTYCTAGTTGATCCAGGGGTTTTCTTAGAAACAACCTCTCTCTATGATGGGACAGAGGGTTCCCAGACCAGCTTACGCGCACCGACTAAATCCTGAGCGACCACGAATGGCCTGGGGTCMATGGCCAAAAGGGCTTTGGCAGAGTCTGGATTCGAACGCTGGTAAGATGAGATTTCCACTGCATCCTCAAAGCCTTAACCAGTGCACCACAAGCCAACTGGTTTATAGTAGACCGGCAAAGCAGGGAAGTTGTAGAATTCTCCTGATGGACCATGAATAAGATGACAAATAAACATCCTGCTCTTTTGTTTTTGTGCTTTTGGACACTGAGAATTGGTAAATGAAAGCTTATTATTTATTAACAATTAATGTCACATGTTTWAACTGCAAATTGGATACCTTATTAAGGCCATGTTTGATAACCATAAGCTAGCTTATTCTTTGAGTTTATTGTAAAAGACTCCTTCGGTTAACCATAAGCTAGCTTTTTGAAAAAGCTACTTCAAGTAAAGTTTTAATTAATAAGCTTCAGGGTTTTTTTCCACTTTTTTCTTCTAATCATACCCTTATATTTTTCTRATCACTTTTTTAACATTTCATTATAACTCATTTTACATTGCCTYCTAGTTTATCAGCTAGTTTTTACCAAACATGACTAGCTTATCAGCTAACATCTAGTTTTTTCAGCCCACAACTAAGTATCAACGCCTGCTTACTAGACGGCCTGAATCCACAACACATGGGTTGTGGAGATTGAATTGGCATGTTTTTGAATGTTTCTTACTTGGTATGCATAATGATTTTTCCTCATGARGTCTCAGGGACAGGGACAGGGACACTTGTGTCTATTTTCTATGTTGGTTTCACAGAGGTAGAACATGTTCATGTTTGTTTATTTATAGAATTATTTCACCCCTTTTCACTWAATGGAATAAACATATTGTTTTCTGGACACACTTGTTTCAACTTTTGGCTGATTTCAAGTGGCATCTATATAGGATTAAGTTATGGATGGTGTTTGCRTTTTTATCTTTGTCTTGGTGACCATTTCTTGATGCAGAAACTTGTGCATTGTCCCACTCCCTGCATTTGGCTTTTCCTTACATCTGTCCAAGAGACTGTTCTCTTAATCTGAACCCCCCATGACCTCCAGGTGACAAATCATCTCTCAAGGTAAATATTTTCCCCATGATTAGCAAGTTTTGTGCACACGTTTCCGCTATCAGGATCTTTTAAATGCACGACCTGTCTGATAGATTTATATCCGACTAACAGAAGAATATCGCTTCCTAACACAAGAAAGCCTCTCAAAATCTGTCAGATAATCATGCATTTTAAATAACCCAGTCTTTTGTCGGTTATTTAGGAGAATAACCTTTGACATAATATCTTTTCATAACACAAATGCTTCAAAATCTATAAGGAAATCATGCATTTAAATTTTTCTGTCAGAAGGTTATTCTTCTAAATAACCCGATCTTTTGTCTGTATGCAACAGCAGCAGCACCAGCACCACCACTTTACTTTGGCGTCATGTCTCCAMCCCCACCCCCTTCTCCTGCACACTCAGCTTTGTTAATCTAAGGAATCTACCACATGGAGATGGTGCTGATGAGGCTGGCCATTCTCATGGGATTCTTTTTTYCTTTCTCRTCCATTCTTGCCAATTGTCTTTTTCGAATCTGATCTATCGTTTGYGTCTGATCACCAGGCGTTGCGCTTYGGCTTTAAAAAATGATCYAACCCGTTTCGGGTGTGGGCCTTTACGGTTCATTTAGTACACGAACGAAACTGGACTTACCGACCGAAAGAAAAAAAATTATGGAAGGTTTTAGGGTATTAATTTGATAATGGTAATTTAGTAGCATCTCCTCCATTTTTGAGATTATAATATGAATTATATTATCGAAATATTCGATACAGTTTATGAATTATTATTAACCTCTCATAAACATTAAGGATTCTCAATGGTATGATGCAGTCACCTTCCCTTTTATTTTCTTCATTTTGGAGAAGGTTTTAAAGCATCTGTTGGAGTAAAAGTCCCCAAAAACTCTATTTTAAAGAATTTGTTGGAGATATTCTAAGCTGTCAATCTTGTCCCGTCTATCTAACTTTTTTTCCGCCCTTAAATCAATCTTAAATTAAAAAAATAAATTGATGGATCAACGAACTTGTTTTAACGTATCCTATAAATAACTCCGTTCTTTACTCGAACTCATTTAACTTGTAATACAAACCGTCCATTTACAACGTATCTTTTGGAATTTCATACTTAATTGTAGACCAAGACATTTTGTCCCAATCTAAAYAGGGACGGAACACAATTAAARTATTGAATAATCATATAAATCTATTTGCATAATTTTCATTACATTTGTATAGAATAAATGGTCGAAGCAAAGCATAATAATAGTCTATGTGACCCTACCATGCAAGAGTCATGTACAACAATACAAGGGTCTCGTAGAGAAAAAGATACCAAAAATATCAGAAAACTTTCGGTACACAAAATGTCATCCTGACATGCGACCCTTCCACGCCAATGTCACATTAGTCTCACATCGCGCATAGGAGATATGAACTTGTGGTACACCAAATGCCATCCTACCATGCGACCTTGCCATGACAAGGTTGCATATCAAGGTCACGGTCGAGAAATTTCTGGGACCAAATGTAAAGTCCCAACTCTTTGGAAGTTTGTTTGGAATTTTATACTCAATTATAGACTAGGTCATTTGTTCAATTTAATCGGTGACGGAACGCAATAGAGACAGTGACAATCATAAACAATAAGAATAATCAATTTACACAATTTTTAATTACAAATGTATAAAGAATTAASAGATGATAAATATATGTAGAATTTTTGGGTTTATTTTTAATGTGTAGAAATTGGTATCTTGATTTCTATAAATACAACACAATCCTTCCAAAAAGGGCACAATTATTGCATAACCTATGAATCTTGGTTTCATGGGAGTGCTTTGAACTGAAA